CAAATCAAAACTACACTGAGATACCATCTCACCCCAGTTAGGATGGCTAAAATCCAAAAGACTCTGAACGATAAATGCTGGCGAGGTTGCGGAGAAAAAGGAACTCTCATACATTGTTGGTGGGACTGCAAAACGGTGCAGCTTCTATGGAAAATAGTATGGAGGTTCCTCAAACAATTGCAGATAGATCTACCATACGACCCAGCTATCCCACTGCTGGGAACATACCCAGAGGAATGGGAATCACCACGTCAAAGGTATACCTGTTCCCCAATGTTCATTGCAGCACTCTTTACAATAGCCAAGAGTTGGAACCAGCCCAAATGTCCATCATCGGATGAGTGGATATGGAAAATGTGGTATATCTACACAATGGAATACTACTCAGCTATAAAAATGAATGAAATACTGGGCCGGCCTAGTGGCTCACTCGGGAGAGTGCGGTGCTGATAACACCAAGGCCCCGGGTTCGGATCCCATATAGGGATGGCCGGTTTGCTCACTGGCTGGGCGTGGTGCTGACAACACCAAATCAAGGGTTAAGATCCCCTTACCGGTCATCTTTAAAAAAAAAAAGAATGAAATACTGCCATTTGCAACAACATGGATGGACCTGGAGAGAAATACCACATGTTTTCACTTATTTTTGGGAGCTAAAAATAAATAAATAAATTCACACACACACACACACACACACACACACACACACACACACAAAAAAAAAAAAAAAAAAAAAAAACCCAGGGGGGAGAAGAAGACATAACAATTACAATTCCTTGAAGTTGACACAAGCATACAGAAAGGACATTGTCTGGTGGGAGCGGGGAGAGGGAGGAGGGAGGGAGGTTTCAGTAATGGGCCACAATAATCAACCACATTGTATATCGACAAAATAAAATTTAAAAAAATAAATAAATAAAAAATAAACTAACTTTGCATTCCTGGGGGAAAAAATCCTACTTAGTGATGGTATATTATTCTCTCTCTATGTTGTTTGCTTTAGTATCTTTTAATCTATGTTCCTGAGGATAATCAACTGTAATTTCCCCTAGTATTGTCATTGTCGGATTTAGATAACAGAATAGCAATGGTCTCACAAAATGAGCTGGGAAGTGTTTGGACTTCTATTTTCTGATACAATTTGTGAGACTAGTATTATTTCTTCCTTAAATATTTGACAGAATTCCTTAGTTTTCTTTGTGGGAACGTTTTTTTTTTTTTCCTTTTTGTCTTTTTTACTGACCGGCAACGGGATCGCAACCCTCGGTGTTGCGCCCGCACCGCGCTCAGCCAGTGAGCGGGAACTGGTCTCCACATGGGATCCGAACCCTTGGCGGGAGCATCGTCGCACTCCCAAGCGGCGCACTCTCCAGTGTGCCACCGGGCCGGCCCCTGTGGGAAGGTTTTTGATAAGAATTTCTTTAATATATAGGTTTACTGGGGCCGGCCCGGTGGCGCACTGGATAGTGCGCCGCTTGGGAGTGCGACGATGCTCCCGCCAAGGGTTCGGATCCCATGTGGAGACCAGTTCCCGCTCACTGGCTGAGCGCGGTGCGGGCGCAACACCGAGGGTTGCGATCCCGTTGCCGGTCCCCGGTCCGGCACGGGGGCAACACTGAGGGTTGCAATCCGTTGCCGGACACGGAAAAAGACAAAAGACCAAAAAAAAAAAAAATATATATATATATATATAGGTTTACTCAGATTATTGTTCCATCTTGGCAGTTTTGTTAAATTGTAGTTTTCAAGGAATTTGTCCATTTCATTTAGTTGTCAAATATGTTAGTATAAAGTTATTCATAATATAAAAAATTATCCTCTTAATGTGTGTAAAGTTTATGACAATCCTTCTTTCGTTCCTGATATTGGTCATTTGTGTTCTTTTTTTGTTGGCTAGTCTAGGTATATTTACTAATTTAGTTAATCTTATCAGAGAATGAACTTTTAGCTTTGTTAATTTTTTTTTACTCTTAGTTGTCTATTTCCTCATTTTTTGCTCTTATATTTATTATATCTTTCCTTCTTTTTTTTTGTGCAGCAGGCCTGTATGGAGATCTGAACCTGTGACCTTGGTGTTACCAGCACATCTTTCCTTCTTATTTTGGGTTTACCTTGTGTTTTTCTAGTTTAAAGGTGAAATCTAGGGCCGGCCCGGTGGCGCACTGCTACAGTGCGCCGCTTGGGAGTGCGGCGGCGTTCCCGCCGAGGGTTCGGATCCCACATACAGACCGGTTCCCGCTCACTGGCTGAGCGAGGTGCGGGTGCAACGCTGAGGGTTGCGATCCCGTTGCCGGTCCCGGTCCGGTACGGGCGCGACCCTGAGGGTTGCGATCCATTGCCGGACACGAAAAAAGACAAAAAAAAAAAAAAAAAAGTGTCTTTTGTACACTGCCTGTATCATTTAAAAAAAAAAAATCCATTCTGATGAATACTTGTTTAATTGGAATGTTTACATCCACTAACATTTAATGGAAGCTTTGATATGATTAGAGTTAGAACTACCATTTTACTATTTGTTTTGTGTTTGTTCCTTTGTTTTTTGGTTCTTCTGTATCTCCTTTTCTGCCTTCTTTGTATTATTTTAATATATTTTAGAATTTCATTATAATATGTCAATTAGCTTTTAAACTACAGTGATTGCTCTAGGGATTAAAACATATATCCTTCACTTTTGAGTCTACTGAGCTAATATTGTAACAATTCATGTAAAATGCAGAAGAAACCTTAGACCTGTGTAGGTTCATTTACCTTCCCTTATCATTTACGTTCTAGCTGTCATAGACCTTATAGCTTCATACATTATACACCCTCCCATGCAATGTTATAACTTTTGCTTAAAATAGTCCTATATATTTATAGAAATCAAGGGAACAAAAAAATATTTTAGTTGTCCAGATATTTACCATTTTTGGTACTTTTCATTCCTTCTTGGATATCGAAGTTTGCATCTGGTATCAATTCTTTTCAGTCTTAAGAACTTCGTTTAGCATTTCTTGTATTGTAGGTTTACTGGTGATAAATTCTATTAGTTTTTCCTTATCTGAGAATGTGTTTATTTTGCCTTGATTCTTGAAGGATATTTTCACTGGATATAGAATTCTGGGTTGACAGGTTTCTCCTAATAAATAGCACTTAAAAGATGTCCCAGTGTTTTCTGACCTTCACAGTTTCTGATAGGAAGTCAGAAGACATGAGAATCCTTATTTCCTTTTAAGTAATGTCTCATTTTTCTCTGGCTGATTTCAAGATTTTTTTTTTTTTTTATCTCTGGCTTGTAGCTGATTCACTATGACATGCCTGACATGGTTTAGGTTCACTGGGCTTCTTGAATGTGTATGCATACGTCCTCTACAAAATCTGGAAAAATCTTAGCAAATATATTTTCTAATTTTTTTTTCTGTTCCAAGAGAATTTTTTTTTTCTACCCTGAGAGAATATGAAGGGCAGATTATTCCTTTAAAGTGCTTTTATGAGAAAACTGTCAGCCCAGGATTCTACACCCAGTAAAAATATCCTGCAAAAATGAAGGCAAAATAGACACATTCTCAGATAAGGAAAAACAAATAGAATTCATTACCAGTAAATGTGCAATGCAAGAAATGTTCTTTAAGGACAGAATTTCATCTAGAACTTCATTTCGAGTTTTAAGTCCATTACTTTTTATGGTCTTATGGTTTCTCTCTCTTTCTCTCCCTCTAGGAACTTAAGAGTTAAGAGGCAGCATCTTACCTGAGAAAAATATTCTTCTGAAATGCGGGCGGCCCACTCAATGCAGTACTCCAGCGGTCGGCAGGGATTGGACACATCAGCACACTTAATTAGCATTCGTTTAATTAGAGTCCTGTTCTCTGGAGTTCTGAGCATAGTGTTTATGGTTTCCTGATCTTTACCAGTTTCCTAAAACACGAGTGGAATTTAAAGCAATCAAAATGGGTGTTCTAGTGCCCACCCCTCTCTTACTGGTGTGGTCCCACTGTAAGAACAAAGAGACACTGGCCAGGATCTACAAGTTAAGGGTCTCACAAAACAGTGCTGAGGATACTGTGAGCATTGAGCTTGGCCTTTCATTTTACAAAGGAGAAAACCAAGGCCCAGTGAGATTCCAGCAGGACACAGGAGTAAAGGATAGAACTGGGTATTGATGTATCTGCTCTTCCTCTTTTCCTTGCTTCCTCCTTCCCCTCTTCCCACTCTAAATCTTTCTAATAGTTGCCTTTTCTTTCTGTTCCACTGTCTCTCTCTTTCTTCCCCTTAGTAAGACCGAAAGATTGGTTATATCTTTTATTATATTTACTAAAAAAAGAGTATGAACTGCAAAAATAAAAGATTTCTCTGCTGTCATAACAAAAGGGTTCTTGTGGTCCACCAGGCCCCCTGCTTCTCACGGCCCAATCCTCAACCCAGCCCTGTGAGAGGTGTCATCTTGATAATTAGCCTTCAGGGTACCAAGATTGTGTAAACAGTGATATTCCATTACGGTGCCCTAACATAAGGACTTAACGATAATTCTCTTTTGATCTACGCTCACAAGAAGATCTTATGGTAAGCATAAAAAGTATTATTAATTATTACATTTTACAAATGAGGACATTGGGACTCAGAGAGGAGAAATGACTCATCCAAAACTACCCAGCTGAGTCAGGATAAGAACTCAAGGTCTGTCTCCCTTTAGTCCCAGGCTACCTTCCACTCACAGTGCCACATGCTGTCTGCTTCACAAGGTGCCCTATTCAATATGAATTCTCAATCCATGGTGTCATTGACCCTCTAGTTGTAAGTCCTCTGAAGAGAATTCGGGTTGGAAGAGAGAGCACTGGGGCAGAGAGAATTGACAGAGACTAGAGCAAGCAACTCTCCTCATTCTGATTCTGTGCCCATCAAGCAACCTTCCAAAGGAGTTAGTCATGTGATTCCAATGTGCAATAGCCGTCATCCAAGGAGGCCTGATGGTTCCATCTCAGTGGGGACAGATCTGCCATAAGATAGGCAGGTGGCATCCTGAGGCCAGGCTGCTCAGTCTTCCTGGAGAGTGCCAGAATGATTACTACACCAAGGCTGCTTCAGTAGCTCTCCTCGCTCCAGGTTTCCACTGCTGACCCTTCTTGCTTCACATCTGTTAATACCTGCAGTGTGACTGCAGTTCAGTACTGCCAGCCTGGAAACTATTCTTTCTTGTTACTTTGTCCCTGCCCTGACCCACTGGATATTGATTTCTAGTCTCTCAGAAGCAACCCCAAGTACTGACAAAGGAGATGAGAAACATGACTATCAAGTGGAGCAGAGGACTCAATTGAACTGAGGAATGCCTAGATGAGATGGAGGAAAACAGGTCTGTGAGATACATGGAGAAACTTCTGCAGCATGGGGTCAGCAAGGTGTGGTGGCTGAGTGACAATTAGCCTTATCCAGGATGGCAGGGCAGGAGCCAATAAAAGAAACTGGTGTGGGCACCTCTGCACTGAAAGTCTTTAGAAAGACAGTAAAGTCAGGGGCAGGCTGACAAGGGACAACAGTGAAGGGTGAAGGGTTTCAACATCAGATTAAACATGAGTATTTATGCTAGAAAGCCAGGGAATAGATACCATGGCCAAACCAATGAGTTGTAAAAGTAAAACGGAGTTAGGAGTCAAGGGATTGTGATCCTACTCTCACAATGACTCTAGTACAACAGGTAACACTTCTTAAGTGCCCACTGTGTGCCATGCCTATCAGTCCTATGCCCAGAGATTTATTATCCCCATTCTACAGACAAGGAGATGGTACGGTAGAATTAGCATGGGAACTCAGATCTGTCTGCTTCCTCAGCTGGGGTCTCTTGCCTGGCGAGAGGTTTAATGTTAGCCTTGCCAGGCGTTTGGTGTGGCTTCCATGCCTCAAATCCAGAAATAAGGGCAACAATAATGTCACTCTTGTGATCCAAATACAAAGTCTTTCCCAACCCCCACCATCCTGTGACATGGACCAATAGAGGATAGTTGCTGCTACCACAGAATAGGCCCAGTTGGGAGTGGCTGTTAAGAGACATCAAGGGCTTCAACTGGCCCCAGAATCTGTGGGAAAGGGTACAGAAATGGTCCACCTGCCTAAAATTAGTTCATCTAAAATTTGACCTTCCCTTCAGAGTTTTCACATCTATTTGGGTGTCCAATTTTTTTTTTCTGCCAAGTTTTTGCACCTTTTTTTTAAACCAGTGAAAACTAAATTCAATGAGCACACTGAGGAAACCTTCCACAGCACATATGTCCTAGCCAATGGGTCTCCACAATACATAGGTGTAAGTACCCCAAACACAGGTTCTCTCTGCAATAAGTTTCTCTTACCCCATCTTCTTCTAGAGCTGCCAAGGGCTTGTTGATGCTATTGACAAATTTGTTGACATGCTCGAAGTGCTTTGTCATTTCTGTGGCTAGGACCATGTCAATAATCCCCTGGCGTAGTGTCCGATAGTCATTCCTGTTTCAGATGACAAATGAGAGGCTGCTACAGGTTACTGATCCAGACCAGACAGCTATTCCTGAAAAAAATCTGTTATCCCGAATATGTTTCCATTGCAGCTACAAGTCTAACACCATTGGAAGTTGCAAAGTACACTTTAAAAGAATGTGAAAGTTATGGATTAGTGCCTAGATCATTAGCAAGGAGAAGCTGAACAGAACTTAAAACCAAAAGCTTATGGGCCAGACTTTATAGCTGCAATGTTTATCTTATCATTCTATAGTATGACGCATATAGTTCTTAGAATAAAATAAGACAGAACATAGTAGGGGTGAACAAAGCCAGTTCTCTTAATGAAGATGGAGACCTGTGGTTACAAACAATGTAGCTTACATGGAGATACCTTGAGACCAATTTTAGTGCCCAGAGAACTTTGAGGGTAGACCTTCTCATAGCTGAGAAAAAATCACAGGGAATACTTGAGACCTCTTCCTCTAATCTTTGTTTTTTAATATTTTAAAATTTTATTTTTTGACAAGGCAATCCATATAATTCAAAATTTGAAAGGTACAAAAGAATATAAAAGTCTTTATTCAAGCCCTTTTCTGCAGAAATCTGGTTCCTTTCTCTGGAGACAACCAAAGTTAGCAGGGACTTGAATAGTTCTCCAGAGATAACTAATGTATTTTTAAGCAAATATGAACGAAACGTACTTTAACTCTGCCTCTGAAATCCTAGAACATGGCAGAAAGGAGTTTCATAAAACCAAGAGTCTCTTTTACAAAAAAATTCCACATAAAACTTTCCTTAAAAATCCAAATTAATAACTATTCCTCATGACAGAATGCTTTTTCCTTCTTCAACTGACATTTACTAAATCCCTACTGTATACCAAGCACTGGGCTAGGCACTGCGGGTACAGTGATGAACCGAAGACATGATACCTGTGACCTTACAATCTTGAGAATCTAATCAAACATTAAACAGATAATTTACAAATAATTACTTAATAAACAATGTGATATGTGCTAGGAAGGAACTTGGGACTGAATAATTACAGGGTTTAACTTAGTGTGAGGGATCAGGTAAGGCTTCCACAAGGAAGTGACATGTAAACAGAGACAATAATGAGGAGAAGTTTGCTGGGCTCCAGAGGGCAGAGTGGAGTGTTCCAGGCAAAGGTGCAATATGACTGCTTCTCTGAGTCTCCAACAGCTCAAGATGTCAGCATTATACTTCATCTTCTTGAAATGTCAAGACACCCTTGAAAACACTGTGCTAAGTCAAAGAAGCCAGACACAAAAAGACCACATGCTGTATATAAAAGTGTCCAGAACTGGCAAATCTATAGACAGAAAGTGGATGAGTGGTTTCCTAGGGCAAGGGGAGTTGAAGGGCAAAGGGGGAGGAACTGCTCACGAATTTGAGGTTTTCTCAAGGTGGTAATAAAAATGTTCTAAAATCGATTGTGGTAATGGTTGTACAACTCTGTGAGTATATACTAAAAATCACTGTATACTTTAAATGAGTGAACTGTATAGCATATAAGTTATATCTCAATAAAGCTGTTAAAAAAAAGGGAGACACAGGGTCCAACATACTTCCCAGTCTCTGTTCTTACCTCTTCATGTTCTTAAAGATATTGCATTTATCATCTCTAGTGGTCAGCTGGAAGGCCAAGGCTGCATGGTGGCTCTCCAACACAGCAATGTCATTGTACAAAGTGGCCAGCTCACTTCCAGCATTACACAGGAAGGAGTTGGTTCTCCCAGGGTGATCCACATCATGAATGGTGGCTGCAATGAGGGCAGCGACTTCATCAATTGGATCTAAAGTTTGCTGGAAACAAGAGATCTTTTAGAAAGTGGGGTATGGCAGAAGGCAAGAAAGCCTTCTGTATCATTTTCTTTCTCTATTACGTTAACGTAAGAATATTTCAGATTTCTGAGAAAAGCATATTGTGTGAGCAAATCCAGTTTTCCCATCTCCACTCTGAAAGAGTTATATCTTTGCATATGTTTATTAGGGAACATTATCTGATCCTCAGTCTCACACAAGTTAAGGACTCACCAAAACACAGGGTGTCCTCAACAGATAAGAGTTACCTCCTCGGCCAGTCTTTCTCTAGACCCATCACAAAAAAGGTCATTAGTCGGAGATACTGACTTAGACCAACATAAACTAATATTACTAAATAAAAAAGAAATAATTCTTCCCTTTTTTTTTTTTTTGTCTTTTTCGTGACCGGTAAGGGGATCGCAACCCTCGCCTTGGTGTCGCCCACACCGTGCTCAGCCAGTGAGCGCACCGGCCATTCCTATATAGGATCCGAACCTGCGGCAGGAGCATCGCCTCCCTCCCAGCGCTGCACTCTCCCGAGTGCACCACGGGCTCGGCCCAAAAGAAATAATTTTTTAAAAAACACATCACTTAGGGCCGGCCTGTGGCTCACTTGGGAGAGTGTGGTGTTGTTAACACTAAGGCCACGGGTTCGGATCCCACATAGGGATGGCCGGTTCGCTCACTGGCTGAGCGTGGTGCTGACAGCACCAAGTCAAGGGTTGAGATCCCCTTACCAGTCATCTTTTTAGAAAAAAAAACACATCACTTAGATTAACTGGGGACTGATGTAATTTTCTTTCTCCTTTTGGTGGCTATCTTAGGTTGATGTCAGCATTTTGTGAGTTTGATAAAATGATCTGTAAGTTTCCCATTTTTTTCCCCCAAGGCTCCAAAAAGGTTGATATAACATGAAAAAAACACATTAAAGGGCTAAAGAATTCAGCTGTCCATGTGGGTCAGGAGCAAGGTTTTGAAATTAACTGATAATGTAAAAATTATTTCCATGGTATTGGCCTTTTTTGGTTTTCTATGTCTTGCATTAATTTGATTTAAAACATTCTTTTTTAAAAAAAAGAAACCACCTATTTTAAAGCTTTTGAAGTAGTACAGATGTGCAAGTATTTTCTTCTATTGTTTTCTATTCCAAATTTGTATAAGTCTGTGTTTTCTTTATTTCTTGATTAGTTTGGCTGAAACTTTGTCTATTTCCTCAGTTATTTCAAAGAACCATTTTGGATTATCGTTCTGATCTTCCCATGTCCTTTTTCTTCTCTTTTTTAAGTAATGAAAGCACTTAAAACATATACCTTTAAATATATTGTTGGCTGCATTCTATAGGTTTTGAAGTATAGGTTTCTCATTTTGTTGTTTTCTTTTTTTTTTTTCCTTTTTGTCTTTTTCCGTGTCCGGCCACGGATCGCAACCCTCAGTGTCGCACCCGTACCCGACCGGGACCAGCAACGGGATTGCAACCCTCGGTGTTGCTCCCGTGCCTCGCTCAGCCAGTGAGCGGGAACCGGTCTGTATGTGGGATCCGAACCCTCAGCGGGAGCACCGCCGCGCTTCCCAAGCGGCGCACTATCCAGTGCGCCACCGGGCTGGCCCCTCATTTTGTTGTTTTCTAAATAATCTGTCATTTTTTTGGTTTTACTTCGTTGTTGATCCCAAAATTATTCAAAGTATTTTCTCATTTGTAATGGTTGAATTTTTTATTTAACCATTAGCTATTAAATTCTAGTTTTGTTGTTTTGTAGTTAGAAAAATCTGGCCTCTGAAGTTTTGAAGTTTATCAATACATTCGTTGTGTCCAAGTACAAGATTATTTTTGGACATATTCTATGAATACTTGAAAAGGTGTATATCTAATAAGTCAGCCTTGTAAAGTAATTTAAATTAAAATTCAATAGTTTTAGCTTTAAGTGGGTAAATTGTATGGTATATGAATTATATTTCAACAAATGCTTTCAAAAAGTTTTAAGTTAGCTCTCTGAATATATATTTATACATTATCTACAGAGTAGTTCAAAAGCAATAAATTACTGCAAAACTTGGGTTTTCTTTTATATGTGGAGCCATACTGTCAGAGGTGTGCCTCCTTGCCACTTGTAAAATAATTTATAAAACAGTCCTCTCTCTGGACTCTTATTCTACCAACAGTCTTGGTCTTGATCTTTTTTTAAAAGGAAAAATAAGAATCACAAGTAGCAAGGAAAGGACAAGTGAAAGACAGGCTCTAAGAAGGTCTGTCCTTCAGGGTGAGGAATTACACTTGCCCAACCCTCCATGTGCCAGAAGTCACCTTTCCCTTTGTTCTCTTCCACAAACGAGCCCCATGTTATAGAGGAGGAAACACGGTCAAGAGGCAGGTACTTGCACCGTGGGACCACAAGCATGCTTAGTCCCAGCCAAGGGAGCAGCAGGTCAAGGGAAGACACTTCAGAAACTAGAGTGGTGTGGCCCGTGTGTCTGGGCCACAGGGGAGGGAATGAGAGAGGAGGTGAGTAAGCAGAGCTGTGAACTTCCGCACTGTGGAGTTTTAAAGCTGAAATCCTGCAGGAGCTGCGAGGCTGCTCCTGGGAACGACATGGTCAGAAGAGCTGTTTGAGAAAGGTCATGTTGACAGGGGAGATGGGGCAGTCAGGAGTTCTAGTTTGAAACTGTCTAGATGAGAACTCATAGGGGCCCCCACTAGGACAGAAGCAGCGTCATGATGAGGAGATGAATCTGAGAACATTTAGGTATGACAGGAGGCAAGGCTGGATGATCAGATATCGGGGGGTTGAGGAGGGGAAAGAACCAAGGATGACTCCAGGTTTCTGATGTGAATATCTGGTTGGATGATGGAAGCCTGGACCAGCTAGACATCCCTGGGTAGGAGCACTACTGGGACAAAGATAATGAACTCGGGCTCAGACCCTGGCTGACTCCGAGCTATGAGTGGGGGCCCTAAAGTGGCAGTATCCAACAGTTACTTGGCTGTACTTGTCTGTAGGTTCAAAGTGAGACCCTCGGAAGACCAGCCCTATCCTGTCCTTACTGTCTTTCTCCCTGGAGACCAAATCCTGCTTCTTGTACTCCCATGGAATGGCTGGGATTATGTTATGAATTAACATATCAAATTTCCAGAGCTACAATGTGGCTTCCTGCCTTGACTTCTCATGTGGCCTCACCCTTCCTATGCCCAGCTGCACACGTGGGGGACCACCCTGAGCAGTCACAATGCATATCACTAAGTGGAGGCAGAAACATTAGACTCTCCCTGCTGCTCTTGTCTGTTAAACACCAAGTACAAACACCAGCTCACCTTTATCCTCTCCTTGGAGAGAAAATAGGCAGTGGCATGAAGCACATCAGCAGAATGTGTAGAATTGTGGTAGGGGTTAGAAGAATGATAATTGGCTTCAATAATTTGTAACCACGATCTCAGTGTTGACTCGGAGCAGTTTAAGAATTCACAGATTCCAAAGCGAGCAAACATTTTGAGACCAAGATAAATCAAAGGCCTATAGAGGAAAATATCCACAATATTAAAACAAAGCAAAGAAGCAGATAAAGTGTCTTGACCCCCGAATAGGTTCAGATCCAACAAGCAAATCCAAGCCAGACTTTCTAGAGTGTAGCAAGTGGAGACTGCCCAGGTTGTGCTGGCCTCTCTGTGGTGGAGCTGGTTCTGCTCCTGACCCTCGGTGGGCAGATGCGTGGGTGAGAGCTGGCTGCCCACAACAGCTGCTGGCCTCGACTCCCTTCTGGGGCTCCTCATTTGCTGGGGTGAAGTTTGCTTACCCTGCCCTTCCTGCTTCAGATTCTACTTGCACTAGTGGATTCCTCAAAATAATCCTTTTTCCAGGCTAAGCTTGTACCACCTTGAACGCTATCTTCTCCTTTGGACTCGCTGGACCTATGTCATTGGCCAGATGTCCTGCCTAGGAGGAAATAACATTTCCTGAGGACTGCATATAAGCCAGACACTGCTACATGTCATGTAATCATCTCAACAATCTGGAGGTGGATATTACAGTATGAGGAGGTTTTCACTGAGAAGGTGACCAACTGCTCACCAAGTTAGGCCCTGAGAAGTCACCTTGATACAGCAGTTGGCCTTTGGCTTGGAAGGGCAAGAAACTTAGTTCTGCTGAAGCAGTATCTACTAGTGATCATAGAACTTAAACTGACCTGCCTTAGCCCAATGTACATGGGTGTAATGTCACTAGTATATAAATCAGGTACTCAAAGATTCATTAGCTATGGCTGTGTTGGGATACACGGAAATAGAACGTATCTGAAGGTTAACTCATGGTGAACATGAACAAAGTGGAGGAAGGGGGCTATCTTGGGGCAATTCACCCAGACTGGGATGAGACCTTATGAATCATCCCATGGCTCAACACAGCACACCTCTCTGGGACACCCTAAGGGCAGCCCTGGCTGGCATCAGCTCTGTGGACATCCCTTTGCTGTGTACCAAGCCGATACCTCTCTTTGGTTAACAGCTGTTCTTTAGCAAGGTACAAAACTGAAGGCAAAATCCCAATCCTGCTCCCGTTCTCTGTGATCACACCTGGATGAGGATGACTGGGGTTTTGGATGTCCCTATGCCTGTCACCAACATGGCAACCAAGATCTGGGGGTAGCTCTTATCAAATGTGTGTGTGTTTCTAACAAATTTTGGTTCTAGACTCTGAGTGGTGCTCTTTGCTGCTATCTTAACATATTACCACCTACAAGAGACATTAATATCCTTATTTCACAGAACAAAGCCTCTACTATTTAGAGAAGATAAGTCACTTTCTCAGTTTCACACTTTCCAGGGTTGTGCTGTCTCCGTTGTGGCCAGGCACACTCTCCCCCAGGTCCTGGTGACTCAAGGCCACCTGCTACCCTGCTGCTCCTTCCTCAGCCTCCTTCCTTGATCAGGGACAAGCTCTGCGCACAATCCACATTCCTTAGGTGCCCTTCTTCACGCAGGCCTTTAGAATCCAGCTCTCCACCTGCTGAGCTCCTCAACTCACCTATTATGGGTGGCAGCCTCCAGTTCAAAAATATCAAAGTCCCAATATTCCTCATTTTCCATGGCTTGAGCTATCCGCGGTGGGACGTCATGAAGAGACATGGGAGTGATTATACTGCTTGAAACCTGTGGAAGGTCTGCCAAGTGATGTAATTTGGAGAACAAAATTAATAGGCTTTCTGGCATTAACTGTTTCTTAGGACAGTGCTATATCAGGGGACAGTTGGTTTGTTCCTGAAGTTTTATGACATACCAAGAAACTTCTCAGTGAAAAGAAAGATTACTTGAAAACTTTTATCTGAAAAATTATTTTCACATAAGCTTGACTGCAGCATTACAGATAATGATCAAAAAAATCAAAAAGGAAACACTTACTTTTTGCTGAAAGAACATATTCATTCCCTGATAGTCTCCGCAAACCATCCTGATAAAAATCAAGGAAACAAGAAAAAGAAAAGTGATAACTATTTTTTTTTTCCTTTTTGTCTTTTTTCCTGACCGGCAACGGGATCGCAACCCTTGGTGTCGCGCCCGCACCGCGCTCAGCCAGTGAGCGGGAACCGGTCTCCACATGGGATCCGAACCCTCGGCGGGAGCGCCACCGCGCTCCCAGGCGGCGCACTCTCCAGTGCGCCACCGGGCCGGCCCCAAGCGATAACTATTGTTGACTTTCTTGGAAACTCCAGGTGTTCACTCCCAGAGGAGAGCCCAGTGTAGCCTTCTCCACCATGCCACTGCAAGGCTGCCCTGGGCCCAGCAGGGCCTACCCCTGTGACCATCACTGTGGTCCACCACTGAACTCAGCCACTTACAGATCACACACACATCAGAGCACAGCAGCCTGATGCTGGCTGGGAAGGATGGGCTTGGCCCTGCTGAAAGCTACACTCAGAGGCAGGGTCAACACCAGGGAGGTGAGCTTGAGAGAGGCCCCCAAAGTCAACATTCCTGCTTGCACTGCACTCCAGGACTGTTTTGGTTTCTTAGTGACAACTCCCCTCTGCCCTCAGTTCCTCCCCACCATTTTCTTCCCCCTCTCCATCTCAGGACACCAGGCTTCCTCTGGAACTCTAGATCCTTTCTCACCTTCTAAGTGACCTCGCTCCCCCGAGTTGACTCTCCTGGGCTCCTCAGCGCCACTCCCAGACCACCGGGCCCAAGCCCAAGCACCGTCTCTTGGCAGCCCCTCTTCTCCAGTCCCACAGTTGCTCCTTACTCCTCAGCTCCAGGACATTCTCCCTCCCCATCCCTCATCATTTTCATTCCTTACCTAGAGGCTGGAGGAGCCTCTGTCACAAATAGGCAAGACCACATCACTGGGAACCACTCTACCTTCTAGATGACTGCCTACAATCTTATTTTTATGAAATCAAGTGACTTCAGAAAGCAGGAATTGTGGGGGAGGTGAATTTTATTTCTGACCAAGACAAAAGTTGTCAGATAGCAACGGAATGATCTCTGTTCCGCAAAACTGTTATTCCCTTGTGAAAGCTCTGTCCTAGAGGCGCTGGAGGAGGCATCTAGAACCCCTCAAGAGGCTATGGTACAAAGCCCCCTTCTAGTGAAAGACTCCCAGTCAGCCGAAGTTGTGTGGGATGCTTTGGAGGTGAAACCATGCCCCATCCCCTGGCACCTTTTAAAACACATACAGCAGGAGAAAGTCTTTCTGTTTTGCAATTCAAACGTTTAACAAGTAACATTTAATATATTTAATATGTTTTTCTTTTTTTCTGACTCAGTTTTCAAAATCTTTAATACAATTTAAAACTCATCTAAATAAATTACTCATAGAATCCCTAAGCAACACCAGAGAACTGGCACAGTAGACTGTGCAGAATATAATCCTCCTTCTCTACTCCAAGCTGAGGTCTCCCTAGGAGGGAGGAAACAGGTACGTGATGGCTCGGCCAGAGAGCAGCCTACCCCAGGCAATGGAGGGCTCTAGGCCTTGACTGAGCCCAGTATACGATGCCTTACTTGCTTCTCCAAAGAGCTCCGTTCAAACAAATGACCTCTGAGAAAACAAACAAGAAGCCTGATTAAATATACTTACAGACATTAAGCCCTCAACGAGGTCATTGGCATGAGGATCATCATCCTTAGCACCAAACTGTGGTGAATATAATTCAGTGGTTCTTAGAATATCCAGCACACGGCCTAAGGCTTCTGTCACAGGCATAGGGCTGCTTTCCTGGGCGGCATTGATGATATTGATTACCTACGTTATAGAAAGAAAAGATCTACATTTCATAATCTCAAGGACAACGGGAGAGCAATCAGAGTCAGGCTGGCAACAGCGCACAACTCAACCAACTGTGCTAATAACTTGAGACTAGTGACAACGTTCTTGTCACATGTCCTCTCTCTGACAGGAGGCAGCACCGCACAGCTATGGGAGCATTCTTATTGTCGCAGGCCCGTTTCTTCTCACTGGAAACAACCCTCTGGGAAAGCAAGGGACTTCCATGCTCAATGGAGCCCAACCACAAAATGCTTCACCTTGGTGATGGGTGCCTCAATGGTCATGGAATGTATCCGGGCCATGGAGGAGTGTCGTCTCTGGCTGGAAACTGTGGAGAAAGGGGAGCAGAAATCAGCGTGTGCACAGCCTTGGGTACTTGTCTTGGCAGCCTCAGGCTGCATGACCTCCCTTCCTCCCCAGGCCTCAGTGTGCTCAGCTGCACAGTGAATGGGCAAGACTGGAAAGTGGTTGTTAAGCTTCCCTCCCTTCCTAACAAGCCTGAGATTCTGGCATAACCAACTCTGTTTCCTTCAGTTCTAGGCACCAGGATGCACATATGCCCTCACAGACTGAACTTCTGATGTCACAGGCCAGGGAGAAAACAGAGGAAACAATCTAGCAAGTCAAGGCCAAACAGCCTCATTTTGTGCCTATAACAATAAGCCTTTATAATGATTCTGCTTGTGCTTCCCAGGAGTAAAAATGGTCTGGAAGACAATGCCACACAGGCTCATTGTTTCATACATGACAGAAGCAATAAATCAAACTCACCATTAACTGAAACACACGAATTTCTGATTAAAATTTTCAAGGTAAAACCAATTTACAATATTAAAAAGCAACGACTGCCAAGCTGGGGCCACTAGAGTTCAGGGAAAGAGAAGAGACCTATGGAGTTCATAAAGGCAGGAGAGAAGCTGCAACAAGGGAAAGGACTGCTCTGACCATTTCGAGTCCTGTTCCCTTCAAGGCTGGCCCTGGTGAGTGCACAGAGCAAGAGCTGGCAAAAGCCACAGCTGTGCCCTTTGTATGAATTTGCTTTTTGGCTGCATGGGAGAAGAGGGCCTTGGTGGTGGTCCCCAGGCCAGCTGGACCACTAATAGGATTTCTGCGGACCCATGTAGGAGTGAGGGGACACAGACAACTGAAAAAAGGAACTACTCAGAGGCCAGTGAATCATCACAAGGGACTAGCGCATGGCCCACTTCATGGGAAGTGTTTGGAGTGTAGGCAGTGGGGGAGATGGGCCCACCAGGGGAACACTGGGGCACAGCAAGGACAGCTGATCTGCCCCCCAATCAGCACAGGACCACTAGTGGAGACTGGTCAGGAATAAAGAATAGCAGTGGGTATAGTCTGATGAAAAAACTCAGGCCCAGACCAGAGTCTCCACACAACCCAGGTGTACCAAACCTCAGAAGACTCAGAAGTGCTTACAAGATCAACAATTAAAACCTGAGCTGGACAAAAAGCCTTCCCCAGGGAATCAGCAGCAAAGCAGCAATTTAGCTCAACCACAGGGCTCAAGCGCTGGTCCCCACAGGAAGTTCCCTGTTTTAGAAGTAAGCAAAGGACAACAAATTAGTTCCAGTGCAGAGTTCAAGTGGGGGGAATAGCGAATAATCCAACACAAAACTGAAAGGAAAAACAAAAATCCCACAAATCAGAGGCAAAATTCTGATATTAAGCAGTAAAGATCTAACACCACTAAAGAACACCTGTAACACATAGAAGGACTGGAAGCGCTCTGGGCTCCTGAGCCAGGGCAGGGGGATGCCAAGGGCCTCAGCCATGCCCCCTGATGTCCGCATCCAGCCCAGCAACAACCACAAGGCCCTGCCAGAAGTGCCCTGGGCTCCTGAGCTGGGGAGGGTGGGGGTACCGAAGGCCTCATCCATGCCCCCGCAACATCCACATCCAGCTCAGCCATGACTGAACTGCCATCAGAAGTCCCCTGGGCTCTTCTGCCAGAATGAGGGCGGTGCCATGGGCATCGACCATGCCCCCCTCCTGCCCTTCCTCATTCTCCTACCTTATCCTCTTCCCCCCCTCCCCATCCACTCCAACTGCTCCACAACAATATCTCAGATTGTAAAAAAAAAAATAATAATAAATAAATTTAAAAGAAGAAAACATTTTTTTTCAAGTTACCCCCTGGAGTTTTCCACTGTTATGCTTAATCTATTGATTAGATAGATTAAATGAAACAGGCAGCAACTTTTAGGGTCTTAATTTTGTTAATTTTGTGTTGCTCCTCTTAAGATATGGTTACTCAGGGATAGGGGGAAGCCTGGGCAATGTATGTATACCTTAAAGATGTATATCCTAAAGAACTAGGGACCATTCCACAGACTGATGCATCAACCTCAGTTTACCAATGAAGAAACCAAGGCCAAGGAGAGACACAGTCCAAGGCTAACCATCTCAGGAGGTCTCAAATGCTTTAAACTTGAGGGACCAAAAAAACCTCTTAAATCTTGGGCCGGCCCGGTGGCGCACTGGATAGTGCGCCGCTTGGGAAGCGCAGCAGCGCTCCCGTCAGAGGGTTCGGATCCCACATACAGACCGGCTCCCGCTCACTGGCTGAGCGAGGCGCGGGAGCAACACCGAGGCTTGCGATCCCGTTGCCGGTCCCCGGTCCGGTACGGGGGCAACACTGAGGGTTGCGATCTGTTGCCGGACACGGAAAAAAGACAAAAAAAAAAAACCTCTTAAATCTAATTTTGGTGACTATATGCTCTCTATTTTACCCGTCAAGATCATTAAACCAAAAATAAAACTGCTGAAGAGATTGTGGTATTGGTGAGATCATAGACAAACAGAACAATGGGACAGAACAGAGTCCAGAAGCAGATCACATATTTGCAGTCACCTGATTTACAATAACGGTGCTACTGTAAAAGATGTTTTTTTCAATATGGTGATGGATCAATTAGATTCCCAGAAGGGGAAATCCACCAGATATAAAAATTAATTTGAAAGGTATCACAGACCTAAGTAAAAGATAAAATAATAAAACTTGTAGAAGAAGGGCTGGCTAGTTATCTCAGTTGATTAAGAGCATGGTGTTATAACACCAAGGTCAAGGGTTCAGATCCCTGTACCAGCCAGCTGCCAAAATAAATAAATAAACAAATAAATAAAAATGTGTTAGAAGAAAACATAAGAGGACATCTTCATGACCATGGGATAGAGAAAGATTTCTTAAACAGGATGTAAAAAGCACCACTCATAATAGAAAATACAGTTAAAATGAACTTCATTAAAATTAAGGATCTCTGCTCATCAAAAGACACTATTAAGAGAGCAAAAGGCAAACCACAGACACAGAAAATATATTTGTAATACATATATCCACTAGATGACCCATATCTAGAATACATAAAAAATTCCTACAAATCAACAAGAAAAAGATGAATAACCCAATTATAAAAATGGGCAAAAGGGGCCGGCCCGGTGGCGCACTGGATAGTGCGCCGCTTGGGAAGTGCGGCGGCGCTCCCGCCCGAGGGTTTGGATCCCACATACAGACCGGTTCCCGCTCACTGGCTGAGCGAGGCGCGGGAGCAACACTGAGGGTTGCAATCCCGTTGCCGGTCCCCGGTCCGGTACGGGGGCAACACTGAGGGTTGCGATCCGTTGCCGGACACGGAAAAAAGACAAAAAAAAAAAAAAATGGGCAAAAGACTTGAACAGCACTTCAGAAAAGAGGATATCCAGGGGCCGGCCCGCTGGCGCACTGGATAGTGCGCCGCTTGGGAAGTGCGGCGGCGCTCCCGCCCGAGGGTTTGGATCCCACATACAGACCGGTTCCCGCTCACTGGCTGAGCGAGGCGCGGGAGCAACACTGAGGGTTGCAATTCCGTTGCCGGTCCCCGGTCCGGTCCGGGGGCAACACTGAGGGTTGCGATCCGTTGCCGGACACGGAAAAAAGACAAAAAAAAAAAAAATGGGCAAAAGACTTGAACAGCACTTCAGAAAAGAGGATATCCA